GATTCTGGATAGACTCTGTCTGCAAGCACCTGGAGCCTCTTCAGCACAACACAGGCAAGCAGCCTCCCTACAACGCTGAGAAGAGAGATGCCACAGTAGTTATTGCAGTCGCCCCGTCTCCTTTGTTCTTGTACAATGTGACAATGTTTGCATCCTTCATGTCCTGTGGTACTCCACCTTCCCTCCAGCAAAGACGAAAGACTTCATACAGTTCAGTGGTGATGGTGACGATCTCTTTACAACACTTGAACAGGGATATTATCCTTTTCCAGGTGCCTTGCTGGAGGCGAGGGAATCCAAGGCCGATTTTATTTCTGCTAGTGTTGGTTCGCTGTCCAGCTCTTCCAAGACAGGCAGCCACTCAATGTTATTTAATGCTTCTTCAGTTACTACATTCTGTCTGGAATATAGCTCAGAGTAGTGCAGCACCCAGCGGTCCATCTGCTGTGCTAGGACCATTAAAATTAAGCAAATATATTAAAAGCAAAGATACAAATTTAAAACAAAAAAGCAGGGAAGATTAGACATCATATGCCAGTCCAAACAATGTGCTTTGCTCCTTTCTTAAAATTAGTCAAAGTGGAAACAGACTGCAATTTGTATATGAGATAGGAAATAAAATCTTCAGAAAGCACTCTTTAAAATGCCAACAGTTTCAGAGGCTTTCCTAACAAGTATTCCGGAGACGTCCTTCTCCTGTATGGCTCCTAGAATATGAAATGCTTCTTTTAATGAGTCAGTTCATCTGTTGTTAGGTCAGGTCAGACCGATGGTCTGTCTTGCTCAGTATTGAATATCTGACTGCCTTCTGTTCTTTTGGACAGCATGATTTATTCTGGCTTTCTGATTTTATTAGCCAACCTATTTGCCAAACAGCAATTTGGCTCTCAAACTGAGTTGTTACCAAAACAGTCAAAGGCAAGTCCTAATTGTAAAAATCAAAATCCAGTAGCATCAGACTAAAAGTATTATTAGCACTGTGACCCTTGCAAACTGGTGGTCTTCTCGGTACTGCCTTGTAATGCCAGGAATTCAATCAGAGGTGCTCTGCATTCAAAGCATATGCCTTGCCACTGAACTTTGGACCCTTCCCTGGTTCTGAATTATTAAGACAAATGTGAAATATAGCCTTGCTTCTGTCTAATAATATTACAGTATGCTAGAAGCATCCCATCCCCTCTGGAATCTATCTTGCCTTTTCCTTGCCAAACCTATTATTTGTATCTCTTACTGTCACTGTTTGTCACCTTTGCTTCTCCTATTAACTCTGTTATTTTCTGTCCTTGTTTCTCCTTGCACTCCCCCTCCTTCTTCTGAAATATTGATATAAACTCTTCTTATCAAGGATGCTTCTTTTATTATTCTCAAAGCATCATGTATGTTGATTAACAATGATAAAGTAGCTGAATAATTGTGATTGCTATTGCCTATGAAACAAAAGGTTCTGTGCAACAGCTTGTTAGAGGGTGACTATCAAGATTAGAGGTAGGCAGACTTCAAGCCTGTCGGATCTCCTTTGTTTGTTTTCAAAATAGTAGCTGGGATGGAAAATCAAGTATTTAGATGCAAACTTCTGGATAAGGGAGCCAAGATATTTACTAAATTCATGGGCCACAGACTAGAATGACCTGTGTTTATACATCTGCATCCAAAATAGTATTGAACAACCATTAAAACAGTACTAATACTGGCTAGCAGAGATGCACGGAGGCCTCGTCAAAAGCAACTAATTAATTGGTTAGCAGAGCTGCCCAAAAAACCTGGTTAAAAGCAACTATTTCACAGATAGGAAATACTGAGGATGGGAGACAAGCGACTAACAAAAGACCATTCATAGGAGGAAACTCTTTTTAGTTGCTATTTGCATTCTTTCTTGGTATTGTTAAATAGCTGGGATACAGAAATCCTTATCTGAACTCCACCAGTGAAAATCCCAATTTACTGTCTGTCCATCATGTTCAGCATGTACGGTAAACAGTGTTCTAGACCAGCTAATCTAGGGTTTTTGGATATTTTTCTGGAAGCCACAATTGAATAGTAGAGCTACCTAATGGGAAGGCTGAGAACAAACCTATCCATTCTAAAGGAAATCAACCCTGAGTGCTCACTGGAAGGACAGATCTTGAAGCTGAGGCTCCGATACTTTGGCCATCTCATGAGAAAAGAAGACTCCCTGGAAAAGACCCTGATGTTGGGAAACTGTGAAGGCACGAGAAGGGGGCGACAGAGGACAAGATGGTTGGACAGTGTCATCGAAGTGACCAGCATGAATTTGACCAAAGTCTGTGAGGCAGTGGAAGACACTGGCTTGGAGTGCTTTGATCCATGGGGTCATGTAGAGTTGGACATGACTTAATGACTAAACAATAACAATCTCTAATTATACAGAGTTTCTAATCACAACTGTCTACAGAAGCTGCATGTTCATGGCAGAAATACCCTCTTATTGTTTTGGCTCATCCCAAACTCTCTCAAATGGGGGTCACAAATATTTGATTCCAAGGCATGATGTTTTCAAGATATTCAGATGGGGTAGGCATACCATATTTACACTTACTGTGTCTCTTCCATTACCTGTCTTGTAACGTTATGTACTCTTAAGTCAGAACTGACTTACAGCAACTCTAGTAAGGCTTTCAAAGTAAGTGAGAAATGTAAGGAGTGGATTTACCAGTTTCACACAATCCCTGACAGTTTCCATGGTCCAGTGGGGATTTGAACCCAGGTTTCTTAAGTCCTGGTTCTTCACTGTCTGTATCCACTACACCACTACCAGGTATCTTATTATCTGCCTTATCCAGTAACAGTTATTTGAAAGTTATTTTCAGTTGGTTAGAAGTTTTGGTCTATCACCCTCCCAATTTGAGGCACTTATTTCAAATATTTAATGTCTTTTTAAAAATAAGATTGATAAAGCCATCTAAAATGATAAAGAATGTTTTAAAAAATCTCCACAAGATTTGAAGTATTTAAAAACCTAAAATAAAAGTGAAACGAGAAATAGAACAAGGGTCAAACATATTTGGCCCCTGTCTTGCCTTTGTTTCTAAATGAACTTTTGAAATCCCACCATGTAGTCTCATAAGAAATACCGCATATCCAATACCTACTCGCTATCAACGGTATCTACAATAGTTTGGGTTATATGGCTACTTTCTTGTTTTCTTGTTAATTAAGCAGTTAACTGAAAATGTGCATTATTAAGTGCAGTTACAAACTGCTTCTGACTTACAGCAACCCTAATGGGTTTTTCAAGAGATGTGAGATGTTCAAGGCATGGTTTACCATAGCTATTTCCCAGTGAGTTTCCATGGCTAAGCAGGGATTTGAACCCTGTGAACAAAAAAAGTGTCTGGGACTTTTACCCAGCATTTTACTTTTTATCACTTAGATACCGTTTCAAATGCCATAATAATCATATACAGTAGTTACATTCTTAGTATGCAGAGGCATTATAGATAAGAATGACCGATACTGTATTATCAGACACAAAACAGCATTCCCCACCCCCCTGCTCCGGATGCTTTGAAGTCTGTTGTGAAATTCTATTTATCCCTTTTTATTTCGTCTCCCTTCAACTAAAGGCTGTAGGAATCCGAAATGCATGTAATTTGCGTACTGACGTCGGTGGCTTCTGCTGTAAGAGCAACAAACCTCTGACCTTTTTTTGCCAGTAACCTAAACCTTTCCCCCTGACCTTTGACCCTTTCGCCACGCCCCCCGCGTTAGGGCTCCGCCCTAGGAGCCGTACCCAAGCCACGACTCCCGCTCCTGCTGTGGTCTATTACGACGGGTACAAGGTTTTCCCCGTTGTTTCACACGTGATAGGGGAGACGCGCACGCGCGGTTTGCGCTCCTCCCTCAGCCTCCTGCTCTCAGGTTATCATGGCGGCCGGAGGGAGCGGTGTTGGCATGGGGATGCCTGCGTCTCCGCTGCTGGACTGGGAACGGGAAGGTGCGGCCAAAGAGGCAGCGGAAGGTACGGGGTGGGAAACAAGACTGCAATCGAAATGTGGTTGGGGAGCCCGGGTGGCGTGCTGTGGTAGCGTCCGTGGGCAGTGAGGTGGAGTGTGCAGAGCAGGAGACTTACGTGAGAGGAGCTAGAGGAGGTCTCGGGAACTCGCCGGCTGCTCCAGGGGGTAAATGGGGAAGATGGGGAGACAATTGAAACGGGAGTGGGCGTTAGATTGTGTCTGGGGGGGCAAGCAATAGACGTTCGCACTACGTCGAAGCTCTCCCTACAAATTTGTACTGTATTGTCAAGAGTTTAGAAATATATAAAGTAAAACAATGCCTCTGGGCGTGCATAGAGTGCCCTTGGCTCACCGCAAAATAACTTCATCCAGTAAGGAGCAATTAAATTTAGATTAGTAAAGCAGATAAACAGCAGGCACAAAGTAAGTTTTCCTAGGATAGGGTAGTTGGCATCTTGAAGTAAAAGGCATGGTGTTAATGATTAGGGGCAAAGTGGTAGTCCAGGACATTTTTTCAGATTGGCTGAGATGGGCATCCTTCTCTTAGATCCACACCTTAATATGGTGAGGGGAAAGCGGGGAGCTATGTAATCAGGAGGTTTGACTCCATTGTGAGCCTAGATCTCTAGCAGGATCACCCGAGACAGAATGGTCAAGGCTGAGACGCCAAACTAAGATGCATCCACCTTCTTCAGAGTTAATGGTCACAATTCTGAAGAAACATGGAGGGCAGCTGCAGCTATGGGGCAGAAGCAATAGCGGAAGGTGATGCTGGTGGAGGATCTTTCATGGAAAGCAGCAGTGACATTCAAGCTAATGATTGTTAGTACTGTGCAGCAGAAGACAGTGGTAAATCATTCCTGAATATTTCTAAGCTTGAAATAATGAGATAATCCAAAATGAAACAGAGGATAGTGCTGGAAACTGAGACTCCTAGGTTAGAAGGCACTCTGTTAGCTACTGGGGAAGAGCAAAAGACAAGTATAAACACACTATTGCTGATGACACAACTAGATTAAAGCTGAAAGGATCTCTAGTGGTCAATGTGTGCAAAGATTAAAAAGTGTATTGCTGCATGACACATACAGTTGGAACATGGAGCATAAGAAGTATGACCCAAGTGTAACTGGAAAGAAAAAAGCAAGAAATGTAGACTTTATAGTATTTGACATGAGCAAATTAAGGGAACAGAATATTTTTAGTCAGACAGTTCCAAAGTATTTTACTCTAGAAATTACAATCTCAGAAGAAATGTTGTAACTTTAATACTGAGGCAAGATATAGCACAGGCAATTAGAGGCTATAATACATGATCTGAATGAATAATATCCATCAGGCTTCTGGGAAAACTTATCAACATAACCATAATTGAAGTCTATGCTTCAACTACAGATGCTGAAGAAGATGAAATTGAAAGCTTTTGTGCAAGCATCCAGGAGGAAATTGATCACACACCAAAAAACAAGATGTGCAGATAAGGATAGGTGACAAATGCAAAAGTAGGCAAAAAAACAGAACCAAGTGTTGGGGGATTTAGCCTAGAATTCAGAAACAAAGCAGAAGAAAAGCTCATAAAATTCTGTAAAGTCAACCATGTTTATTGCAAGTACATGCGTCTGGTGATCAAACAGATATTGTACACGTGAACACCATTGTGTTGCAAATATAGATATCAAATAAACTATATAATTGGAAATGGAAGATGGAGAAGCTGTGCTATCTTTGCCATAAGAAGTCCAGGAGCAGATTGTGATAATGGCTGAAAAAGAACACTGAAAGAATGCCAAAATATAATTAAAATAATTTTTTATCTTGAATTTGAAGTCTGCATCAAGAATATAATTACATTGTAAATTCAATTGACCATGGATCAGAAGAACTGTGGATTGAAACCGAGATTTTATGAGGGAACAATGCAGAAAGGCAATTCCTGTAGTCAAAAGAAACGAAACACCTAGACAGGTGACTGAAGAAGCAAGCAGTTATCATTGTTAAGGAGAGATGAGAAGCAAAAGTAGATGACAGAAATAGATCTGAATATTGATAACAGTTTTTCAGCACCTATCACTTAGAGACAGAAAACTCTTACAATAATAGCTGCAAAACAAAATAGAAGAGAAAAAACGAAGAAGGAAAATGAGATCGATACATTGGAAGAAATTAAAGAGAAGTTACTATGCAGCTTTCCCATAGCTACATGGGCTGGCTTTCCTCCTGTGAAATACAGTGGGAAGCTAAACTCCCAACCTCTGGCTCTGCAGTCAGATACCTAATTCACTGAGCTATTAGTCAGTTAAACCTAGATTGAGGATGCAGAAAGATCAACTGGAAACATACTGTCTGACCAGGATAAAGTAAAGAGAAAGTGGAAAGAACATACTGAACAGTTATACAGAAGAGATTAAAGGTTGTCAGAGTCCTTTGAAGAAGAATTCTGTGATGAAGAAAGTGAAGTTAAACTGCTCTCAAAAGCATCTGGAAAAAACAAATTACAGGAGTGTATAGAATTATTTGAAGCTGCACAGACAGAATCTGTCAAAATTCTAACAAGAATATTCCAACAAATATAGAAAACAAAACAATGGTCCATGTAGCAGACTTTCTGTTGGATCAGAGTTGAGTACTTGTCCTTACAACCCTTTAAATAGTGAAGAGGCAATTTCTCTTTCAGTATAAAGGATCTGCTGGGTATAAATGACGCATACCTGATAACCTAGTTACCCCTTCATGGTCCTAGGTTGAAGGGGGTAAACTGTATTCTGCAAACAGTTGCATTTGCTTCCTGCTTCTCTTCTGCTAGCTCCCATCTCCAGTGGATGAGGGCAATGTCTTGCCTCTGTGACCTGCTTTCTGTTGCCAGTAATCAGAAGAAGCATGAAAGTGTGGCACTTGTTCAGCCCCCATTCCCTATTTTGTGATTTGGATGTGAAAGTTGGATCATTTTTAAAAAATATATAAGTTTTTCTTACAGGCCCCTTTTCCTGCTCAGTATACAGGAATCAGCATGTGCCTTCTCTCTTGGCCCATTTTGGAGCCTATTGTGTCTTTGGTGGGATGCCTATTTTACTAATGGGGCAAATGGTAGCATAACCAGAGTCATTTCCACCATTTAAATAGAACGGAAAAGAGGAAAAGAGCATCATAATAAGGACTTAGTATGCTCCTTTTGGAAATACGTTCTACTTGAATCCTACTTTCCTAAGCAACATGCTCTCCAAATTAGGTTCTGGAATAGCACTGAAAGGCTGAGAATGTGATGAACCTTGTTTTCAAAGAAACACGTTAAGAAAACATATCTTGCTGTGTTGTTTTTTCCAGTTAGTACATTTTGTACTTTCAGTAGGGAGGGACTGATAAAATGAATAAAATACAGGTTTTACAGCTGCTTCATTCACCCTATTTTCTAATACCCTTTCAGCTATATAACAGGCTGTGTGCCAGACTTTGGTGGTTACAGAGATTCTGCATTCTTTCCATGCTCTCCCACCACTAGCTTTCATTGTACCGTAAATGTGAAAGGAAATTGTTTTTGTAGGTAGCAGGTTTCTTTATGCTTATATTTAATAGTTTCTTTTATTTTCTTTGGGCAGTATTCTTCACATCTAATAAGATAATTGAATTAATTGCTAAGCAAGGATAAAATTGTTATCATGGGCTTGTTGGTACCAATTAAATCTTTGGAAGTGCTTTGAATGTTTAATTTAAAACACCAATACACATTTATTACAAATATTTATGAATATTTACATTTAAATATTGTATTTGGGTGAAATGTAAATGACAATTTAAAGAGCGGTGATAAATTTCCTTTTTGCATCCAAATCAAATTTTCCATAGCTTTAGAACTACAGGTTATGCCTATGCTGAATAACTCAGTGGTTTAGGTATATGGCTTTGGAGCCAGAGTTTTGGAGTTGGATTCCCCACCGTGCCTCCTTTACAGGAGTTGGACTCAATGACCAATAGAATCCTTCCAGCTCTGCAGTTCTAAGATGATGATGATGATGATGATGTTAGCAACATTAACAAATCGACTACAGTAGCATCCTTACATGTGATTTGCGTGCACAGTATTTACAGGTGTGAAATATAAAAAGAGTGGAAAAAAGAGACCTTGTGGGCAATCAATGTACATCATTATATAGGATAAAAGTATTACCATACAAGCCTAAACTTACTCAGAAATAAGTCCCATTGTGCTCAATATGGCTTACTCTAGGTGTGGGCAAAGTGCAGTCACACCCTCAAGTGAACACCAGAATGACAGACATGCAGCCCCATAAGCACAAGCAGTTGGTGCTTTTTCAAACTAAGTATACAGGTATTTGCGTTGGTTCAATAAGGCACTGATCCTATAAAAATAATTCCATCTTTCCTTCTGTCTTTCAAGGATAGAAGTAAAATCTTACATGTATAATTACAACAGGAACACAGTTCATTGTTAATTAAAGTTTGCCAGCTTGACCCATTTGTCCTCTGGAAGTACTGTACAGGAGTGGGCTTAAGGGAATTGATTAGGAGTGGGTCCCTTCTGTAAAAAGAAACTATATGAAGTTTTATTGAGGTATTTCCACTTGGGGGTGAGAACAAGGGCAATGCTGGCCTTTGGTGACTTTGTATTTTAGTTTTATAAACAGGTATGTGAAAACATCTGGTAATCTACTTTCTGTGAAGAAAATTAAGCCTCAAAAAGTTGACAAAGTTTCATGTGCGTTGTTCACTGGTAGTGATTCTTACTCTGTGTATTGCCTCTGTAACCATTAATTACCATTTAAGAAGCAGTGTAACCATCTGGATAGCAGCTATTTGTCTTGCATGATCTAAAGCCCATAAATGAAATTATCTGCTTGGAATTCCAGTGGTGGAGCAAAACCTTCCAAAAATTGAATGAAAATTCTGAAATATTGATAAATCTCACTGATAAATAGATAGGAATGACTTGCTTTTTCATCATTTGCGTCCAATTGTTCCCTGCCTCTGTCCCAGCTCAGATAGTCCATTCTTAATGACGTAGAGAAATAGCACGTTTACAGCAGTTATTTTTCCTGGATAGAAAAGGTATTTCCAGTGAGCTCATCAAAATTTAGAAGACTAGATGAGTTGAATAGGGTGGCCTTTTGATTATTATATTTGCCTGAGGAAGAGCTATGTGATGGCTAATCAGATACGGGTAACTGTAATTTCTCACTTAAAAATCAGCCTTGTATTTGAGCACTAGCTAGGTAGCCGTATATAACCAGGAATTAAATGCAGGTGAATAAGTGGGCTGCCAGAGGAGAATGGTTCCTTCTTTACACATAGCCTACAAACAGGCTGCTGCTAGAGGAATGGGAAGCCAGTTTGCCTCGTTGCCACTTTCAGTCCCATTTCTGCCACTGTTCATGACCTAATTGAAAACAAAGTACAGTGGTGTCTTGCATTGCGATGTTAATTCGTTCCAGTGAAATCACTGTTGAACGAAAACGTCGTAATGCGAAATAAAAAAGCCCATAGAAACGCATTAAAATGTGATTAATGCGTTCCTATGGGCTTAAAACTCACCATTTTGAAACTGCCGATCAGCTGTGCGGAAATGGTTGCTTTGCGATGATCAGTCATCGCAAAGCGAAAATACCCCATAGGGAACATCGCAAAATCTTTGTCGCAAAGCGATTTCGTCGCTAAACGGAGCGATCGCTATGCGAGGCACCACTGTAATAACTTTTTCAGACTTACCGTATATACAAAACTGAAATAAAGGAATTGCTACTTTTGATCATAGGAATTTGCCTTTTCCTATCAGAATCAAATCATTGTGCCATGGAGTGTTTAACTAGAGGTGCTGTTCCATAGTCTCCCACTGAGCTATGGAAGTAAAAGGTGGCAAGTTGCACTGTGTCTTAAGCTACATGTGTATCTGTATTTAATTAGTTTTAACAATTGCTGCCTGTTTTGGTGTAATAAACCAGGATGGAGAACTTAACCATCAGTGCTCTTTTTCTTTTTTCTGAGGAGTGAAAGCTGGGACCTGTACTGTCTTAGATGTCGTGGAAAATCTGCGGTAAGTGAGATGCTAGACAATAGGTCTGTGCTTTTGGAGATACATATATTGGCATCCAAGATGACCTTTTGTACTGCTGAAGCCACGTGAAATTGCTGCTCTTTCAGTGCCTCCTGCCTACTACTTGGGTGTCATCTGCCTAGACAACAGAATACTGTAAATGTATTTTTAAAAGGTGGGATAAAATATTACGGAGAGTTTTCTGTGACTTCAGCCTGTGCCATGGACTTGATTTTTTAATGTGTTGTTACCTTGGTAATCAGGATAAATTTCTCTTTGCTCTATTATTGATTTCCCTGGTTCTTTGTAAAGCACTTGATAGAAATCCTTGACAATTTTTTTATTTCCTTCTGCTCCCATTTAGTCTCTCCTTCCTGGTCTTTAAGGTTTATAATTTGGTTTCTTCTTTGTTCTTTTCTCAGTCTATAGGCAAGCCATCTGCCTGGTTTGTTTGCTTTTTCAAAGAAATTTTGTTTCTCTTGTTTTATCTTCATTGCCATTTCTGACATCCACCATGGATTTATTTGATGTTGCACTGATTTCATATTATCTACTAGTTTTTCAATTGAGCTATTTAGTTTTGACTGTTGTTCTAACTGTAAGAGTTTTTCTCTAATTCTTTGTATTTTTTATTTTTTCCTTTTTTGGTCTTGCTGCATGCTTTATAATTATCCCTCTTTGCTTTGCTTTTCCTGCATCCCAGACTTCTCTCATTGGTACATCTGGAATTTTATTTTCCTTAAAGAACCAAGACTTTTCTTGCATCACTTTTTTCTTATAATGGTCATTTTGCAAAAGACTAGTGTTCATTCTCCAGAATGATGTTTTATTTTCTATATTCAGTTGTAAAATAACTGGACTATAATCAGCAAATGTTCTTGGTAGTGCCTGGTCACAAATTTGGGAACAAAATATTAAAATGACAAAATCTATAAATTTAAAAGAAAACATATGCAAAATGTTTTACAGATGGTATGTAACACCAAAAAATTAACAAAATGTATAAAAATGTTTCTAATAAGTGTTGGAAATGTGAAAAGAAAGTAGGGAACTTCTGTCATGTGTGGTGGATGTACAGTAGGACCAAGGACTTTTGGAAAATGATTCATGAAATGATAGAGAAAATTTTAAGGGTTAAAATTGCTTTGACACCTGAAATTTTCTTATTGAATATATTACCAGCTACACTAAAAAAAAAAAAGACTTACTTGACCTTACACCTGATAACTGCAGCTAGAATTATGTATGCCAGTAAGTGGAAGACTACAAAGGTGCCAACAAAGAAGGACTGTATTGAGAAGATTTTGGAACTAGCAAAAATTTATCTTGAAAGATACACTAAATGATAGACTGGATAATAATAAATGGGAACCTCTTTATACCTGGATGAAATCTACGCCAATTTAAGCAGAATATATTAGATTAATGTTAGATAGTATAAGAAAAGATGAAATGAATGGAACACTATATTAGATTAATGTTAGATAGTACAGTATAAGAAAAGATGAAATGAATGGAACATATTATAATAAATCACTCTGCTTGCAACAGATAGAAAAGTAGAAAAAATACAAAAAAATACAAAAAAAAATGCTATGGTTTACCTGAAAGTCCTGCCACATTCTAAAAGCTTCTGATCTCTATGTGTCTTTTTTGTCCAAGTAATCAATGTACAATTGCAGTTGTGGGGTGAAAATTACGTGTGGAGAGGATTAGCTTTTGGTGCAACATGTCGGATCCTAGAATGTACAGTGGTGCCTCGCATAGCGATCGCTCCGCATAGTGAAGAAATCACTATGGGGAAAATTCGCTTTGCAATGATCGCAGGGAAGCGATCATCGCAAAGCCCCCATTTTCGGCCAGCTGATCAGCAGGGCTTTGTGATGATAACTTCCCCACGATCATCGCAAAGCCCCGCCAATCAGCTGTGCTTTGTCTCTCTTTCTCTCTCCACCCCTCGTAGCTCCAGCCTCGGCAGGGAGACTGAGGCACCGCCACCGCCACCCTGGCTGAGAAAGACCCTTTGCTCCTGCAGCAATCTTAAGCCCGGGCTTAAGGTTGCTGCAGGCGCAGAGGGTCTTTCTCTGCCAAGGTGGCGGCGGCAGTGCCTCAGTCTCCCTGCCGAGGCTGTCAGTCTCCCTGCCGAGGCTGGAGGGGTGAGGCGCGGAGAGAGAGG